TTCAGTTATCATCACAATTTGCTACTAGTACCACCACAGCATTATTGGCTACAGCACTCATAGTTATCAGGGATCAACTGGGACATACAGCTGTACTACGTGCCTTAATAGACCATGGCTCACAAGCCACATTTATAAGTGAAAGAGCTGCTTAGGCACTTAAACTGAAACGCGCTGCTATTAAAGGCATAGTTACAGGCATGGGATGCAGCAAAACAATTTTGAAGCACGCTGCTGAAATACAACTTTTATCAAGATACGAAGCAAACTTTAACCTCAATATCAAAGTTTACATAATGCCAACTCGTCTTACATGTCAGTTACCAACTCGAACCATTTGCCTGGAGAACTGTTCACACCTCCAAGGCCTCGTTTTAGCAGATCCAGGTTTCAATCAACCAGGACGGATAGATATGTTATTAGTTATGGACGTATATGCCCAAATTATGAAAGGTGAAGTAATCAAGGGTCCTCCAGGCACTCCATGTGCTCAAAATACCAGCCTGGGATGGATTCTGTTTGGCCACATACAAAGCAACAGAGTAAATTATGAGGTCAGTGTCATGCATCTTAATTTGAATTTAGATGATATGCTGAGGAATATGTGGGAGCAAGGTACGTAAGAGGAAAAAAGAGCATTAACAGCAGAAGAAAAAACATGTGAAGAAATATATCAAGCTACAACCTACAGAACATCAGAAGGACGTTATAGTGTAAAACTTCCAACAAAACAAAAAACACTTTTATCACCATCAGGAAGAACAAGAGATATAGATAGCACTAATAAATTTGTATCAATTAGAAAAGAAATTCGAAAAAGATCAATGCTTAGAAAGTGAATACACAAGGGTGATGCAAGAATATATAGAGTTAAATCATTTAGAGAGAGTACCAGAAAATGAAATTAACAACCCAGCAGTATACCTTCCTCGTCATGCCGTTGTAAGGCAAGATAAAGAAACAAGTAAAGTGAGAACAGTTTTTAATGCTTCGCAAAAGGGAAACAATAATATTTCCCTCAATGAAGAGCTACTGGTAGTACCACAGTTGCAAGACAACATGAGAAGCTTAGTCATGAGATGGCGAATGAAAAAGAGCTGTTTTGTTGCTGACATCCAAAAAATGTACCGCCAAATTTTAGTCTCAAAAGAAGATAGAGATTTACAAAGGATATTATGGGGAAATTGTAAAATCCAACCAGTACAAGATTATCGTCTCCTGAGAGTTACGTTTGGAACTGCTTCTGCTCCATATTTAGCAGTAAGAACCTTGCATCAAGTTGCGGAAGACGAAGGTCGAGATTACTCTGATGCTGTCAGAATTATAAAGGAAGACTTTTACATGGATGATCTGATGTCAGGCAAGGACACACTTCAAGATGCAATCAAAGTAGCGAAAGAGATTGGGTTTATTTTGCAGAAGGGAGGTTTCACTCTTCAGAAGTGGTGCTCAAACAACGCAGAGTTCTTAAAACAATTTGAACCCTCTGAAAGAAGTTCTCAAGTGCACCTAGATATAAAGATAGATGAAACAATACGGGCACAAGGCTTACAATGGGACATGGTATAGTGGCACATAAATATAGTCTTCACTTACCTTCTATAGCTGCTACTGTAACCAAGAGAACAATCCTAGCCGACATTCAAAGATTATTTGATCCACTTAGATGGTTAGCACCTTCTATATTGCCTGCAAAATTACTCACCCAACATTTATGGACACAAGGAATCTCATGGGATGAAGAAGTTAACCACTTAATTGCAGAAAACTGAGAGAAAGCTACCAATACTTACCTGAGGTAGAAATCAACCGGTGGCTGCATACATCTGAAAATGTAATGAATACTGTTACAGTTCATGGTTTCTGTGACGCATCTACTCGAGCATTCGCTGCAGTTGCTTACTTAAGAGTTCAAACTATAGATGGATTGGTTAAGACAGAAATAATTGCAGCGAAAACAGGTTTAGCTCCTATCAAACCTCAATCCTTACCTCGTTTGAAGTTTAACGGGGCTGGCGGTACTCCTGAAAAAATAAAGGAAGCTATGAAAATACCTACCTGTCAAATATTCGCGTGGACGGATTCCACCATAGTACTCTTGGCTTGTTGGAGATCCTGCAAGGTGGAATACATTTGTGAGAAACAGGGTTGTTGAGATATTAGACAACTTTGGCAACCAGAACTGGTATCACGTCCAATCACAAGACAACCCTGCTGATGCTGCTTCTAGAGGGAAGCACGTGCTAGACCTGAAAGATTATAAAATGTGGTGGAACGGTCCTGAATGGCTAAGCACAAGTAATATTAAATACAGCATACCAGCAAACATAACAACGAACCTAGAAAGAAAGATCATATCAGTACAAGTAAATCTAAAACAAACAAACGAAAGTTCTAGTACATAGGCTGCACTAAAAGTATCGGGAATGAAATATTTCCACTGTTCCAGTCATATTAAAATCTTTTTAATTGAAAACTCCTTGGTTTTAAAAATCGAATACCATTTATTTATTTAAGATTCTCGGTCTTGTCACAAGGTTTTGTCAAACTTGTTTAGTCATTGAGAAAATGGAATTGACTCGAGAAAATTCAAGAGCGATGATTTATTATGACCTTCGAAGTGGTTTAAGTGTGTTAACCGGATGATTTCTGCATTTGGTGATGAAGCCCCATCCAAAAACACAATTTATCGCTGGTTTGCTGAATTTCAACGTGGACGTGTCAAGCTCAGTGATGACCCCCGTCAAGGTCGTCCAAAAACTGCAGTCACCCAAGAAAACGTTGATGCTGTGCGTAAGATGATTGAGGAAGATCGACATGTAATATACAGCGAAATTCAGGCAACTTTAAACATTGGCATGAGTCAAATACAAATAATCTTGCATGAACAATTAGGTGTAAAAAAGTTGTTTTCCCGATGGATACCGCATTCGCTCTGTGAAGAGCAAAAAGCGGCTCGCGTTACTTGGTGCGTCAGAACTCATGAAAGATTCCACGCAGGATCCTCAAATGCTGTATATAACATCGTATCAGGTGACGAATCCTGGATATACGCGTACGAACCCGAAACAAAAAACCAGTCACGAGTTTGGGTGTTCGAAAATGAGTTAAAGCCAACAAAAATTGTTCGTTCACGGAGTGTTGCAAATGAAAATGATGGCCACGTTTGTCTCCAAAACCGGCCATGTTACGACTATTCCTCTTGAGAGACAAAGAACGGTTAATGCAGAATGGTATGCTAGCATTTGTTTGCCACAGGTCGTTTCTGAACTCCGTAAAGAGAACTGCAACCGCCGCATCATCCTCCATCGCGACAATGTGAGTTCTCGCACCGCACACAGAAATAAAGAGTTTTTAGAGCAAGAAAACATAGAATTATTAGACCATCCGCCGTACAGCCCCGACCTAAGCCCTAATGGTTTCTATACTTTCCCTAAAATAAAGAATAAATTGCGTGGACAGAGATTTTCATCACCTGAAGAAGCTGTGGACGCCTTCGGCCTTTTTGGAGACCTCAACTTCCGAATGGAATGGTTGCTTCAATGATTGGTTCCATCGTATGGACAAATGTGTCAAATTTCGCGGAGAATACTTCGAAAAGCAATAAATACATTTTTAAATAGTAATGTTGTGGCACTTCCTTGATTCCCGAAATTTTCACTCGTAAGTTTAACAGATTTAATAATTTAACAGAACTATTAAAAGTTATAACATATTGTAAAAGATTCTTAAAAGGAAGGTGTTTAGGCCCAAATTAACCTTTTGAAAATTGAATTAATAACTCGTGACGCGGTGCGTGTATCGCACGGTACGAAGGTCACAGGCGGACCCTCCCCGCTCGCATTCCACTCGTGATCGGGTGGTTGGAGACGCGTCGAGATATTATGTGTGAACAACTGCCGCTCGAAAGGACGTGTAGAATTTACTTTTGGAGTTTTTCGCTTCTAGTTTTGGTTATCTTTAGTGCATTCGCACGATAACGAAGCAGTAATATTTTGATTGATTAACTTAAATTCTTTGGCAAGAAATTTACGTAAATTGTATAGTGATTGCCGGTTAAAGTGCTTGACAATATTAATTCGCGTCAACGAGTTGCTTGATGCCATTTTGATTCAACTCGGAGAGATTTTCCTGTGTCGGTTAAAACCGCTAAACTTTGTGAACCGCGAGAAGCTTTCGGATTAGATTATAGATTTGTGCTGATGGACGCTAGGCTTTGAGTGACACCGAGTGACGCCGCTGGAGTGACACCACATAGGGTGGCGGTGCTGGAGTCAGGGTCGCTGCTGATTAAAAGGGGCTAATTCGGGTTACACATACCTACACTTCTCACACACTACTTACATTCACGACAATTAACGCCTGAACGGGCCTTGAGATCCTTCTTCGCCTCTGAACAGGTATGTGCTATTGGTTTACCTACCTTTATCACTGTCGTATAGGTCAACTCTCCATAAGGCCATTTGGGCCCGAACCCCCTGGTTGCCCGTCGAGTGGATCACTCATGGGCCCTGGTCCAGTCGACTTTTGTCGGGGCAACTGAGGGCCGTAACCGGAGGGAATTGGAAAATAAGGGAACTACAATAACTACAAAGGAATTAGAAGAAGCTTTAAAAACATGTATAAAAATTGTACAAAGGGACACATTTGAAAAAGACATACAAAAACTGAAATCAATAAAAAAGGTAAAAAATTATCGTAAAATAAAGTCTCTTTTACCTTACCTGGATGAAGAAGGTATCCTCAGGGTGGGCAGTCGATTACGTCACTCTGACCTTGATGAAAATTGCAAACATCCTATTATATTAGACAGCGAAAATCACTTGAGTGCTCTTATAGTATCTGTTGCTCACTTGAAGATACTACATAGTGGAACGCAATTGATGCTTGGATATTTAATATTAAAATACTGGATCCTGAAATCAAAGAAATTGGTAAAAATTTAAATTCGCAATTGCCTCATATGTGGCAAGCAAAAAGCTCTAGCTAAATCACAATTAATGGGAGACTTACCTCGTGTAAGAATTACGCCTGCTCGACCCTTTCTACATAGTGGAGTAGACTTTGCTGGCCCTTATCAAATCCTGAGATCTAAAGGTAGAGGTTTTAATATAACTAAGGCTTACATAGCAATTTTTGTTTGCATGTCAACAAAAGCTATACACCTAGTATTGGTTGGAGACCTTACCTCGGAGGCCTTTATTGGAGCTTTCAGAAGATTTGTAGCAAGAATGGGATGATGTGCACATCTCTGGAGTGACCAGGGAAGAAACTTCGTAGATGCCAACAAAGAACTTGTAGCAGCTTGGGTAGACGCAAAGATGAAGTTTGAGGGTCATATTTCTGAAATGTTAGCATTAGATGGCACACAATGGCATTTCATACCTGCCTATAGTCCTCACATGGGCGGATTATGGGAAGCAGGTGTCAAATCAATGAAACACCACATGAAAAGAATATTGGCTTGCAACCTAACCTATGAAGAGATGACCTTACTGTGTCAAATAAAAGCTTTTCTTAACTCGCGTCCTTTTAGCCCTATTGATGACTCAGACACGGACAACATACTGCCACTTACCCCAGGGCACTTCTTAATAGCCGAAGCTCCAATCAATGTACACCACTCTGATCTAAAGAACATTCCTGTTAGTCACTTGTCACGATGGCAACATCAACAGAAGCTTCTATCAGATTTTTGGCGAAGATGGCAACAAGAATACTTGACCAAGTTACAGAAGAGACCTAAGTGGCAAGGAAAAGTGAAGGAGTTTGAAATAGGACGCATTGTTCTTATAAAATGTGACAATCTCCCTCCTGGCAAATGGATGCTGGGTCGTGTGGTGCATAAGCACCCAGGTGATGATGGAGTGACTAGGGTGTATAGTGTTAAAAGTGGTGAAAGTGTAGTGCAAAGACCAATGAACAAATTGTGTCCATTACCTATAGATATAGACTGATGTTTTATTCTAAATCATTTGTGGTTAAATTTTATTTTATCCATGTATTAAATGTTCTAGTATGTATTCTAGTATGTATTCCCATTTACATGAAAATTGTTTTTTTTTTACCATTTTGATTGGAATATCTCAATTACTTGTAAAGCTTAATGAATTTAGGGTGTTACCTTTATCAAGAATGTATGTACTCATATATATTGTACAACAAATATCATGTAAAATTATTATATTTGGAGTATGTCTGAAATGTAACATGTTAGATAATAAAGGACTTTGTGAGTCCTTTGGTGGGCGGCATGTTCGAGAAATATTGTAATGCGTGTGTGTTGTATGTAAGATGAACAGTAAGCAAGTGTGAGTGAGGTCTTTAATAAGGTGAAATGTTATTTAAATGTTCAGTAGCAATTAAAACACCGTATCATTGACACCTTGTTTCTGTGATCAGTCCCTGTAAAAGTAGTGAACCTCAATACCAAAACAATGTTATTGAGAAAACAAAAGAAGAAATCTGTTTGAGCAACAGCTTCCAGAATCTTAGGGAGAAAAGGCAGAATAGAAATTGGTTTGAAATTGGGTATAGTGTTGCAATCGCTGGATTTAGGAATAGGAATAATAAAGGCTTTACGCCAGAGAGTTGGGAAAACACCATTCATCAGCGAAAAGTTAATGATATAAGTTATCACGGGTAAAGCAGCATCCAACACGTGCATAACCATTACCCTACTCACATCATCACTACCAATGGCTTTCTATTAAATAGAAGAAAGTGAAAGTGCTTTGAGTATCTCGCCTTCGTCTACAGGAGAAAAAGTGAAAGTTTCGTGAGAATAAGGAGGCATGGAAGATATAAATGAGAGAATTAGCTCTAGAAATATCAGAAACTATTTGAGAAGACAGAAAATGACAATTGAAAAAAATCGTCAGGAGAAAAGGCGTTTTGAGAAACTTTCATATATCAGCCGAAGATGAATTAAGTACTTGTTCGTGGATTTATCGGCGTTTAGCAGCTTTCACCATGTGATTGCATCGATTTCTCGCAGCTTAATATGCCTGCCACTTTAGATCAGTGCGATTCTTCTTAAAAACGCGAAACATTCTGTCGCGTTTTGCCATAGCCATTCTTACTCCAGTCGTGGTCCCTCGAACAGGAGGACGCTTAAGTCGAACGATACGCTTAGGGGCATGTTCATTATACAGTCCTAATATGTTGCTGTTAAAGAAGTCGACTTTTTCATCAACTGTGGAAGCAGTATACACAGATGACCAGTTAATAACATCCGCATCACACTTGAGCTTGTCTATATCTAGTCTAGCAAGACTTCGAATAGCGATAGACACAGGTAAAGGCTTGGGAGACTTTAATTTATATGACAGGAAAAGCAAGTCATGCCGTGACAATCCAGAAGCAGAGAATTGTCTATAATTCACAACGTGTTCAAGGGAGGAGACGGCTATAAGGTCGATCCAGGTGTCAGCAGAACGGAAGTTGTGACGTGTTGCATTCAGAGGCAAAATAGTGAAATTATGCGACATCATGATAGACCTCAGTTTGCAAGATTTGACAGAAACCCCTAATAGGTCAGTGTTAAAATCTCCCATGATAATGTGATGTGTGTATATGCAGAACTGTAAGGCAACAAATTTTCTTCCAAATAGGAGTAGTAGTAGTTGTTATGCAATGTATTCTTTTATTTTATTTATTTTGTCAAAAAATGTCGGTACCCCACACACGATTTTCTCTTGTATCGTGGAGGCAGTTAACAAACATAAATTGCTCAAGGACAAACATCTAGACCCAGAAAAATTATTAATATATACATATAGATTAGCTATGTAAAAGGGTTAATAGTTTTGTGTATGCACTACGTACATAAAAAAATGTTACCTAGGTGGATTGAAAAGTACTCGGCCTAACACAGATCCATTCAATTCTAAAAATCAAATCTACCCACATTATTTAGTTCAGTTCAGACTAGTTCATTGTGTGAAGTTCGAAACGTGTGCGATAATTAGTTGTGATTTTATAAATTTATTAACAAAGTAATCGGACATAATTGCCGCGAATGGAGCAAATCGAGCAGCGTGCCGTCATTAACTACCTCCATAAGAAGGGGCTATCATCAAAAGCCATCCATGATGACATGGTCAGTACATAAGCCGATTGTGCTCTGTCATATTCATCCGTCAAAAAATGGATAGCAGAATTTAAGCGTGGTAGAGAGAGTGTGAAAGATGAAGCCCGCTCTGGAAGGCCTTCGACGTCAACTCCTAACGAAAATATTAAAAAAGTACTTGATTTAATAATGGGAGACCGCAGATTAAAAATTAGAGAGATAGCCGAGATTATAGGCATCTCTTATGAACGAACTCAAAACATCATTGTCAACGAGTTGGGTTTCCACAAGGTGTCTGCGAGGTGGGTTCCGCGACTGCTTTCAGTTGAACAATAATTTAAAATTAAAAATTTTGTACAGCCGACTTCAATATAAGTTATTTAAGAATTACTTAAAAACTATTGGTCTGACCTTGATCAAATTCATATGGGACCACACGAGAAGTACCAGCTTTCAAATAAAAAAAGAATCATCGAAATCGGTTCACCCAGAAAAAAGTTCTGAGGTAACACACATAAAAAAAAAACGAAAAAAAAAAAAACATACAGTCAAATTGAGTACCGGCTCCTTTTTGGAAGTCGGCAGAAAAAGGACGCGATTGACTATTTCACGCGACTGTTTGGAGTTATTTGAAGCCGATGCAGATGATTTTTTGAATCGTTTTGTTACTATGGACGAAACATGGGTTCATTACTGTACACCGGAAACAAAACAACAATCAAAACAGTGGAGAAGACCTGGTTCACCACCCCCTAAAAAGGCTAAGTCGATTTTGTCGGCAAATAAGGTGATGGCTTCAGTATTCTGGGACTCGAAAGGTGTGATTATGATTGATTATCTTGAAAGGGGTCAGAATATAAACTCTGATTACTACTGCACCTTACTACGTCGTTTACGAGAGGAAATAAAAGAAAAACGTCGAGGAATGCTCAGAAGAAAAGTCCTGTTTCATCAAGATAACGCCCGTGTTCACACGTCAGTACAGTCAATGCCTGAAATTCACAACTGTGGCTTTGAACTGTTACCGCATCCGCCGTATTCACCTGATCTGGCACCATCAGACTTCTTTCTGTTCCCTAACCTAAAAAAGCACTTGGGAGGTCAAAGATTTTCGACAAACGACGAGGTCAAAGCAGCTGTAGACGCATATTTTGACTCTAAGGAAGAATCATTTTTTTTTCAACGGTCTAAATGCTTGGAAGGGGAGGTGGCAAAAGTGTATTGAACTTGATGGTGATTGTGTAGAAAAATAAAAATATAACTGATTTAGTATTTGTTTATTTTCTTGGTTAGGCCGAGTACTTTTCAATCCACCTCGACTAATAAAAAAACAGCCTTAATATCCTATCGGGCGTATATTGAATCCATACTCCAATATGGTATAATAGTGTGGGATAATAGCACAGATTGGCGTAGGGTATTTATCGCACAAAAAAAGTGCATAAGGGCGATATGTGGTATCTCAACAAGAGAATCCTGTAAGCCAATATTCAAAAATCTTTGCTTACTAACTCTGTCATCGTTATACATATTTGAGATAGGTAAATTTGTAAAACAGCATACAGCTTTATTTAAAAAGTCCTCTGATGTTTGTCCTAGACTTAAAAGAAATCCGAATAGGTTAGTTCTAAGCAAAGTTCCGAAATCAACTAAATATAGTAAAAGCTGTTTATCAATGTGTGTACGTATATACAACAAAATACGTGACGAAATTAAAACACTAAATAATATGAATTTATTTAAAAGTAGACTGTACCTTTGGTTAATTGACAAAAAAAATTATGACATTAACGAATTCCTGACATTGTAAGCTACATTATGACATTGTATTCTGGCCATTAGTGTGTTGTAATTCTGACATTGTAAAATATGATTTGAAATAATGTTTAATTTGTTAATTTTTAATATTTATTTATTTATTTATTTATTACAAGATCCACAGCCCTAATTACAATGTAAATGAACTTAAGAAATAAACTTACAGCCAATAACGGATCTACTTTATACATTTTTTAACTTAAATTAATCGACCGACAATCAATAAGTTTGAGGCACAAAAACATACAATTTTAGAATTAACAATTTAAAACGGCGCGTCTCTCTTTCTCTCTGATCTGTGTGTCCGTGTACGCGCGCTTGTGTGTGTGTGTGTGTCCGTGTACGCGCGCT